TTCAGGCTGGCCTTGAGCTCACTTTGTAGCCCAGGCTGGTCTCGAACTCACAATGATCCTCCTGCCTCAGCCTCCCGAGTGCTGGGATTGCAGGCGTGCGCCACCACGCCCGGCTTAAAGTCTTCATTCTCTTTATAACATTTTGCAGCTTTCTGGCTGTAGAGAAAGTCTGGGCAAGCCTGTGACCGTTGTTAATTTAAAGATCTTTTATTTATCCTTTTTATTTCCCTAGCACTGAGAATTGAACGGAGTATCGCACTGAGGTACATTCCCAGCCCCTTTTTTACTTTTAGTTTTTACTTTTGAGACAGGGTTTGATATGTCAGTAAGTTGCCTGACCTGTGATTGATCTACAGTTTTCCTGCCTCAGCCTCCCAGAGTGCTAGGATTACACCACACCTGGTTCTATCTTTTATGTATTTTTGTTGGGAGACAGGACTCCTAAGTAACCTTTTGGAGCTTAAAGTCAGGGCCAGCTTCAGGTGTTATGTAACCAGCTTACGGGTCCCCCACTGACAGCCTTCCCCCAGTTTGGTTTGGTTGCTATTAGCATCTTTAGATTCACCCTTTCTGAACAAGGGGCCTACATTTTTATTTTGCACTGGGCCCAACACATCATGTAGCTGGTGCTGTGTTAAGTGTTGAGAGAGGCAGAAGGTGGTGGGAACATGAAGGTCAGGTTCCCCTGTGGGGGCCCTGACCAGGGACAGTGTCCTGGGAGCAGCTTGCTGTAACAATGGCCACCCAGACCCTGCACGGCTTCCCCAATACCGCCAACCACGGCAGTGGAAGCAGATTCTGGCGGGCTCTGGGCAGGACTTTTAGCAGGCTTGGGTGCCATTCCTCAACCTGCTTTTACGTGGCAAGGGGAAATTCTCAGATTCCTAGGTGACACATGAAAAGGGTACAGTGCAAGTGGCCGCCAGAGCAGGTGGCTTAGAGTTTCAGTTTTTCATCCAAGAGACACCCATAAAGAGTGCCATTGGTTTTGATAAGGAAAGTGGCTTAGGGCACTGGCTCTGGAGGCTTTGAAGGAGTGTCCAACATCTCTTAGAGCCAAAGGCTCCCGTTTGCATTTACTTATTCTCCTTACAGGTAACTGTTTAACTGATGCTGTTTCCCTGTTAGCTCTGGCCACTTGGAAGCTCAAAATGCAGTTCTTGGCCCAGGTACAGAAGTTCTATCAAATCTCCAAACAGCAACTGAACAATTTGTTTCTTTTTTTTTTTTTTTTTTTTCTTTGAGACAGGGTCTCGCTATGCAGTTCAGGCTGGCCTTGAGCTCACTTTGTAGCCCAGGCTGGTCTGCAACTTGCAACGATCCTCCTGCCTCAGCGTCCCGAGGGCTGGGATTCCAGGTATGTGCCACCACGCCTGGCTCGTGAACAATTTGTTTCTACAGAGCTGATCTCATTTTTTGCATCTTTGTTTGCAGATGCTGCTGTATGTCCTTTAATTTAGTGACTTTGGTGGTCCTGGAGATTGACTTCAGGACCTTTGCGCTGAACTACTTCCTCAGCCCTGTTTTTTATTTTTTTATTTTGAGGCAGAGTTTCTCTAAGTGGCTAAATTTCACAAGGCTGGGTTCTGACTTTCGATCTTCTCGCTTCAGCCTCCCAGAGTGCTGGGATGATGGGTGTGACCACCTCACTCAGCTATGCCTTATGTCCTCTGTACTTGTCATTCGTACATTCTTTGCAGAGGCTTAGAGGTCTGGTGAGGAGAGCTGCCTGATTTGAAGAGGTGGCGCTCTGAGGTTAAATCATGGGCCTAAGTTTCCTTAATGAGTAGTGGGGCTGGGATTTAACCTGGTTAGTCTGACTCTGGAGTCCATGTTCTTGAGCACAAACCTCCACCGTCTCACCTAGGGAACCTGATTGCCTGACTGTCTGGATATTTTTGTTTTTCATGGTAGTCATTGTTTCTAATGTATGTTTCATGCGCTCTGATGTTTTTCCTGCAGTGTCTGTGGGAAGCTCCTTGAGATCCTCTGAGGAAGCAAGCCTCCTATAATGTCTATGCCTGTCCCCTCCCTGGTGACCAGGGGCATCTACTTAGTAAGGGAGCAGAAGCTCCAGACCCCTGCGAGTGGGACCTGGTCAGCCTTTGAGTGACATGTGGGTCTGTGGCGTGTCACGACCTGGAGAAGATGTAAGACTGGAAGGGAAGTTCTCAGCTGAGGCCCAGAGAGTGGTTAGTTTCTCTCCTCCAAGAAATTTCCTCAGCCTGGTCAGAAAGACCAAAGTCAGCGTAAAGACTCTGGTGCCCCTCCCTGGCCTTTTGTGACTTTGGCCTCAGCTCTGAGAAGCCCAGCCTCCTTAGGCTCCCTCCTGAAGTTCTTTCTTGTGTTGTTTTCTGAAAGGGAGTGGAGCTGAGCCGGACGCTCCAGCATGAACCACAGCTCCAGGAAGAAGTAGATTCTCCCTGGCTCCCCGCCATGGCCTGTGAGCCGCAGATGGACCCCGGTGGGGCAGCCAGCCCATTGCCCACCTCCTCCCCTGGCTGGAGCACGCTGCCTGGGGGGAGCCCTCCGAGGTGGGGACAAGGTAAGGTTGTGGCCCTTCGTTCTGCCTTTCCCTCTGTGCCTCTCGCTGATCTGGGCACACGCTGCATGATTGGGGGCAGTGGAGGGGCGCAGAGAGGCCTTTCATAAGGATGGGTGGCTTTGGAATCACTTCTGGGCCACTTTCTTTCATTTCTACCCGGTTCTCTGTATCCCTGCCTCCCTTCATCCCTCTGTGCTTGACCTGTGCCTTCCAGCTGGTCTGCATTCCTCCTCTCCATGGCAACAGGAAGGGTCTTTCTCAAAGGCACATATAGCCGTGTCACTTTCGCTTTAGTGTCTCCCATTGGACTTAGTGTGAAGATCCGTCATTCACCAGCTTGTAAGGCCTGCCTTATGGCTTCAGCTGCCCTCCTTCTGTTCTTTTTCCCGCTCTTCTGCCACAGGGCCTTTGTACATGCTGTTCCTTCTGTTGTAGAACACTTGCCTAGCATTTGAGAGTCCCTAGATTCTATCTCCAGCACCACTGGAAAAAAAAAAATGTAAGCTGCAGTAGGGCAGGGGCTTTGTGCCGTGCTGTGAATGCCTGTGTATCTGCAGCCCCAGCATGGGGCCTGGCCCACTGCAGGTGCTCAGTAAGTACGGCGTTGAATGAAGGAATGAATGAATGAGTGAGCGAGTGCCAGGTATAGGCCGGGGGAAGCAGCGCTGTGCATTGTGGGGCGTCCACAGGAATGTGGCTGGTCACCGAGAGGGTTTGCATCTTGGCTGCTTCTAAACAAGGGTTTCTTTTATGCGTAGTGTAATTAGGGAAGCAGTTTATACACGTACACATCCAGCAGTGGGACGGAATGGAGCGGAGTGATTTACCTGCAGGACTTTAAAGACTTTGCTCTCCTGATTTTTGGCAAGCCAGTTCTTGTTCCCTTGTAGGAAACTGCACTGTCCTTCGTGTGTGTGTGCGTTTGTTTTTCCCCTTTAGTAGCCTTTCTTAGCCTAAGTGTAGAAGCAGCTATCTCTGAAGGAGGCCTTGCTGTTCTCCTTTGAAGGGACAGAGGCCAACCAGTGTTGCTGAGAATCCAGAACTCTTGGTTTGAAAGGTGAATAAAGACAGCGGGAAATTTTTGCGGTGTTCTGCAAACACCTGCTGGGCAGAGAGCCCGGCTGCGGAGGGAGTCCGGAGCGTGCCGGGCTCTCACGCCGGCTGTGCAGTGGGGAGCCAGGCTGGGACAGCGCTCCTTTCCCTGCAGACACCACCTCCTCAGGGGTCCTGGAGGAGTCAGGGAAGTTGGGATGGAAGCCTCAGCCGAGTGCCTGGTTTAGAGTTAGGCTCCCACGCCCAGGGCCTGTTCTTTATTTTCTTTTTGTCTAGTCTTCTTTATTTGCATATTCTTCCATTTCATCTTTATCTTTTTATATTTAATTTTTATGAAGCTACTTTTGATGCTTCTGGGATGATGTGGGAAGATTAAAAAAAAAAACAAATACAAATAAGTCGTTGTTGGTTTATCGTAACTTTTGAATTCTGACTAGCTTGGTTTTAAATTATGACAACAACAGGTCAATAATTGGGCATCTATTTTGTGTGAAATACTTGGGTTTTATCGTCTTGCTGATGACCGGTAATGTCCTCTGCAGTGGCCGGGACTGTCCTCTAAGGGAGGGGACAGGCCAGAGGTTTAAATTGCTTTAAGTTTATGATGTTAGTGACAGGCCTGGCTGTGATTGGAATCCCAAGCCTGTCTGGCTGCGCTTTCTCTGCATCCCTCACTCCTCCCCAAAGGAGAGGGGAGAAGGGAGAGGGAGCGGGAGAAAGATAAAGTTTCTTTTGACAGGATGCAGACTTGCGAATGTTATGGAACCCTGAGAAGAACCTTAGCAGCTAGTGTCATGGCCCATACCTGTAATCCCAGCACTCAGGTGACTGAGGTTGCTAGATCATGAGTTTGAGGCCATCCCGGAGTTCAAGGTCAGCCTGGACTACATAGTGAGACCTTTGTCACACAAACAAAAATCCTGTCAAGATTCAGGATTGGGGACCAAAGTGCTTTCATATTAATTTTTTTTTTTTCTTAAAGACAGGTTCTCGCTTTGTAGTTCAGGATGGCCTTGAGCTCACTATGTAGCCCAGATTGGCCTCAAACTCATGGTGATCCTCCTGCCTCAGCCTCCTGAGTGCTGGGATCACAGGCGTGTGCCATCATGCCTGGCTTCATAGTAATTTGTTTATGCATCAGACATGTGTCCTAGGCACTGAAGTCAGCTCTGGGGATTCAGTGGTGAACAGTCCGATATGGAAGTGTACAGTGTGGTGGAGAAAGAAAAGAGACCTTAACCAAGTCATTGGGTATGTGTGTAATGGAACAATTGCATGCATATGTATTTATCTTTGATGCCTGTGGAGATCAGCAGGCAGTGGTGGGTAGGTTATAGGATTTGATCTATGAGTTGAGAATGTCCCTGAGGGCCCCTGGGAAAAGTTATTGGTAAACTGGTATGGAAAGTATATACAGGATTTGGGGAGAGGGTACCAGTAATTGAACTCAGTACCTTGCACTTGCCAGACAGGCACTGTGCTGCAGAGCTATATCCCAGTCTCCTGCATATACAGGATTTAAGCAGGAGAAGCTAGGTGGAAGTGTTCTCGGGAGTATAAATCATATGCAAAGGTCCTGGGGTAGGAGAGAACAGTACATGTTCCAGGAGCAAAAGCAATGGGTTTAGCTCAAGGTAAATCTGATAGAAGAAGGCGCTTTCTCCTTTCAGCATGGTAAGAATGGTTCTTGTCAGCAGAGTTCAGGAGCTAGACAAAGCATTCCCTGAGCGATTGGTGTCATCAGATTTGTGCTGTGGCTGCTGTGTGGGGAATGCATTGTAAGAGAAAGAGTGGATTGGAGAAGCCTACTGCAAGGTTAAGGGAGCCGTGAGGATGCCAGGAGGTGTGTGGATCTGGCCATTTCATTGGCCCTAACAGCATGGTCAGTGACAGACTGAGTGAGGCAGGGGACAGGAACTTGCTTGGTGGGCCGGGGATCCCGGGAAGGTGGAATCAGCTGTTTGGATTTGAATGATCCAGTATGGCTGGAGCCTGGCAGGGGTGACAGGAGCTTTGGACCAGGAGAGACTCTGTTTACGGTTCATGCCTGTCTCATTGTGTAGCCAGTGGCCACAGACCGTGTACAAGAGTGCGTCCTCAGCCATGCCTGCCCAGTGAGGGATCCTGGTGGCTCCGGGCTGGCGTGCCCATGACCTCTCTGGCTGCTGACGTGGGTCACGTAGCCCTGGATGTGCGGGGAGGAGAGCCCAACGCTTTATCCAGAAGCTGACGCAAGAGAGATGGGCTTGTGGGGATGTCATTTCAGGCCTTTCTCATTGGCCAACCTCGTCTCAGCAATGGAAGCGAGTGTCTGGGTAGCTCTGGTGACCAGCCTGGGTTGATGTGTGTCTTCTGAGGGAATAAAGACCTCATGTGTTGAATGTGTTGAAGACGCTCCTGATGGTGGCTTGAGTGTCCCCTCCCAGACCCACATAGGAGCTCCATGGCCACTGTCTCAGTGTTGAGGTGGGGCCTGGAAGAGGTGATGGGGTCAGGATGGCTCTGCCCCCGTGGTGCAGTAATGTCATTAGCACAGAGTAGGTTAGTTACATCCAGAGTGGTTCCTAATAAAAAAGGATGTGTTCAGCCCAGCTTCTTTCTCTCAGGTGCATGCTCACTTCTCCTTCCGCCATGTTGTGACACAGCCCTGAGACCCTCACCAGGGGCTGGCACTTTGATCTTGGACTCCCTACATGTAAAACTGTGGGCCAAAGAAACTGCTATTGTGCATGACGTACTCAGTTTGTGGTACATTCTGTTAGAGCAGCAGAAAATGGACTACGACGGGAAGGGTTACGAATAAGTCAGTGGATTACTTTCCAACTGTTGCTTTAACACAATGACTAGCAGTTTGGCTCACTTACTGGCTAAAGGCCACAGATGCATTTCTTTGAGGTTCTGAGATCAGAAGTCTGATGTGGTTTTCACTGAGTTGACAGCAGGGACTCAGTGGGGCTGTGTTCCTTGTTGGAGGCTCTGTGGGGGACTCGGTTTTCTGTCCTTTCCCAGTTCCCAGAGGCTGCCTGCATTCCTTGGCTTGTGATCCCTTCTTTCCTGGTCAAAGCTAATAGCAGTGCATCTCTGGGCGTTTCTTACCAGTCACATCTCCCTCTGACTCTGCTTCTACCTCTTTCTTCTCCCAGGATGACACTGGGTCCCTCTAGGTGATGTAGGATATGCTGATCTGTGACCTTCCTCCTTTGTGCACCCTTAATTCCCCATTGCCATGGATAGTGGCATATCCACAGGGTCTAAGGAGCAGGGACATCTTGCAGGGGGTGTTGCTGTACCATAACTAGTTTGACTCAGTTATACCGTAAGTTATACCATAACTTACTTAGACTCAGAACCTACTGGAAATTTAAGTTGAGAAGTTGAACTTCTTTTGTAGTGCCTGAATAAATATGTACCAGGCCTTCAGTATAGCTAGGGGTTCAGGCTCCATTTATACATCCCTGTGATGGGGAACTCACCACTGCCAGTCTTTGTGGGGAGGGTACCATCTTGGGAAGTTCTCGGTTGCACATTGTATCTGAGGAGCCTCCTTGCGTTGCCTCAGTTTTGCCTCCTTGGGGCTTTCTAGTCAAATCCAGTCCTTAGGCACCCAAGGAGACGCATCCTGTCCCCCCCTTGTCACGAGAAGGTCCTCGTGATGCCACCTTCTAGAGTCGCTCTCACTCCACCAGCTGAAGCTCTCGTCTGCTTTCAGAGCTGCACAATGGCCAGGTCCTCTCAGTCCTCCGGGTCGACAATGCCTGTGCACCCATCTCCTTTGACCTGGGAGCCGCAGAAGAGCAGCTGCAAGCCTGGGGCATTCAGGTGAGTGAAACTTTCATTGGGGTTCTGTGTTCTACCTGACCATCCGTCTGTATGTCCACCCATCTATCCTTCCACCCATACATTCATCCATCCATCCATCCATCCATCCATCCATCCATCCATCTACCCACCTACCCATGCACTCATCCATCCATCCATCCATCCATCCACTCATCCATCCATCCATCCATCCATCCATCCATTCATCCATCCATCCATCCATCCATCCATCCATCCATCCATCCATCCACCCACCTACCCATCCACTCATCCATCCAC